AGAGAGAGAGAGAGAGAGAGAGAGAGAGAGAGAGAGAGAGAGAGAGAGAGAGAGAGAGAGAGAGATGAGAGAAGCATGTGAGAATACACACTAGTGGGAGCAAGAAAGTTCTCAATCTTGGGGAGGTGAGCACACGGACAAGCCGCGGGGATGTCGTGAAGGCATTGTCAGCTACTATATGCAGAGAGTTCGGAAGGCAGGGAACTGAGCAAAATGGCACAAACAGGTCATCAGTACAAATCCTGACGGAATCAGATGGATAGAACACTAGGGGCTATCAACGGGCCTAGATCAGTTGGCACACCCCTGAACTGTTGAAATACAGACCCCTGTTCGAATCCAGATACCCTCAGATGAAGAGAATAAAATCATTCTGAATTGCCTGGGACCGGTCAGTTCAATAATGATATCAAAAGGCCGTCGCCCTTTCAGAAAAAGAAAGAAATGCAAGGAATATGAGCGAGAGCGATATACGGACAACCAAGTTGCAAAATCACGCAGAAGCCCAGATAGTCATGTCACAAGCAGAGAGTTCAAATGCACCAAGAATCCAACCAAATAAGAGCAATACAGTGAACTCGTGAGCCAATGTTCAAGCCCTCAGGCCACACCAACACAGTATTCAATGTCGCTCCTCTCTGTCTGGCGCCCAGTGGCCAGCCTACTCTACTTGTCCTACCTATCCTACCTACATTCATGCAACAGGCTCACTTCCACTTTGAAGACCAATGTACATGTCATCAACACCAATGCAGCCCTCCCACATAAACCAGGTATGTATTCTCGTCTCCCTCATCACCCCCTGTCCACCCACGTCTGCCCTCGCGCCCTGCAGCCTGGCTATGGCCGCTAGCGCCGCGCTGCCCTGAGGTGCTCCTCACCTCTCAGATCCTGGGCGCACCCCAGCCAGTGCAGCGCACATGCAGACACTTGCGCAGCGTCGCAGCAGCGTGTCCGCATTGCCTGCCTAGGTCAGCATCCCCTTCCCTGGCTTGCTTGCTTCCTATATGGAAGTGGCAGCCGCTGCTGGACTCCCTGGGCCTGGCCGTGGAAGTTTCCAGTAGCTTCTGGTTGGGCCCCAGTGTCTGCGCCCTGGACCATCTTGACAGTTGAGGGTCTGGGCCCTTTTCAGTTGGGCACACCCGGTATTTCCCAGGCTCTGAATGTTTGCTGCATTTGCACTGGCCCACGGGGCAGATACGACGTCAATGCTGCTTTCTCGTTGGCCGTGGCCACTTCGTGATTTGTCGGCCTCACAATGTGTGTGCCCAGGGCACAAGCACCTGGGCCCTGGGCTCAACTGCCTGGCGGAGTTGCTTCTTCGGGAAGAGCCCAGGGTAAGGCTCAGGTTGCACTTCAACCAACTGTCGTGCAGCAACTGTCTGAGACCCACATTGGAAAATGCTGAGATAAGGGCCTCTCGTGAATCTTTAGGCCCGCCTTCATTTAGGGCGGGCACAAGGCTTGCTGGGGGGCCACATTCCAGAACATATGCATGTTGCCTAGGGCCCCCCTGAGGACAGAGTCCTCACAGAAAGCTAGGGGCTGTGAAAAATGGGGAAAAAGTTCAAAAAAGTTGAAAAAACTAAGGAAGGGATAAAGAAATGAAATCAGAGGGATTCATAACTGCACAGCAAACTGGATTACAAGGCCTGGAAGTGGTTTTGAGCACCTGGGTAAGGAACTTGCAATTGGTAAGAGTAAGATCAGATGGCTCCTCTGTCCTTCGAGAATCCGTTAAAATTGGAACGATAGTACGATACGGAGAAGATTAGAGTGGCCTCGGCCTCTGTTCAAGGATAACATGCATAAATTGAGAAATGGTCAAAAATTTTAATAGAAAAAGACAGAAAGATCAAATGGCTCCGTGCGGATAGCACCATAGCTTGGCATATGAGGACTACCCTGAGCACCAAAAGCAAGCACTTGGGTTGTATTTCTCCAAGACTGAGAGGGAACCAGGAGCGATCCGCACTTAAAACCACCAGTACACTCGGCCGGCTACCCCGTGTGCAACCCCCAGTAAATCCAGTGCCCCGAAAAGGTTTGGTCACAGACTCAAAGTTGGGTTATAATGGGGTTGCAAAGGGGGGTTCCTATGGTCTTTTTTCAAAAGACTCCCTGATGACCAGTCGAAATGCATCGAGGATGGCCACCAGGTTGCTGGATTCAGTTTGGTAATTTTGGTTGTTGTTTTTGTTGCTCATTAGGCATGTGTAATAGAATGTCCTATTTGTGCGGTTCTTTCAGGGCTGTGCCGGGAACCGGCCGGTTGGACCCCCGGTGGTCCAACTGGAATTCCGGTTGGGCCCAAAAGTTGGTCAATTTTTTTTATTTATTTTTTTTGAAAACATGGTTGGACTGCGCCGAGATCTCCCCGAATCCGCAAAGAAAACTTTGAACAGAGAAGTTTCGTTT